AGTATGAGCAATCAGCAATAATCAGTGGTTGTGTCCCACATGTGGAACAATAGACGGGACTAAGGTGGTTGATTACACTGGTGACTTAACAATTCAGCAGAGAAACTGAACGATGTGCTATTTTAACAAGAATGAGGCTATTTCTTCAACAAAAAGTAGCTTTATTGTTAGATTTTGTTGATTGAATGAATGGAGAGTTTCCACATTCTGTACACTAGTGTCCTCATTCTGGCCTGAAATCAACCTACCTGTCACTCTTTCCTCTCTCCGCTACCTACTCCATCATTTTATTCTTCCCAAGCATCGTTTCTGCCCTGCTGTCCTTTACAAGGCCCCATCGATTTAATGTGATGGACAGAGGAGATGAGAGACAGCGTTCCTCTGACAGCTGTAACACTCCGCCTCCAATTGACCTGGTCTTCTGCTACTACAGTTAGTCCTGTTTATGAACAGTGGAGGCTATAAATCCACTCTACAAGGAACACAGTCACTGGAGGAGGATATAAGAGTAGGATTTTCCAAACAAGACAAGCTCCCTGCCTGCAAATATGCAATATGTACATACAGCTTATATCAAAGATTCTTCAAGTCATTGAAGATGCAATGTGGAAAGACGCACCTTCTGCTAGATTAATATCCATAAATCATTAAGCCTCTTTCATCTACATTACCATTGTCGCCGTCCTCAGAAGCAGACAAACAAAAAGCAGGAGTTGAAAGCAGCGTCTTATCAACCACTAGGACAGCAGAGAGAGAACAGCATGCCGGTGTGCAGCGAAAAACACTTTCCACAGCTTTTACCACTCGTTCTACTAAATTAATTTGCATCAAAATCTTCATTTGGAACACCCATTACACATAAAGAAGCACAAAAAGAAAATGAAATAAAACAAAGCAATGTCTTGTCTCAAGAAAATGATTTAATTAATTACAAGGAATTGGTTTGTTGTCACGAGATAATAGGCTAATTAACTTCTGATCTCAAGATAAGACACTTAAAAAAAAAAAAAAAGAAGATCAGCCACTATGTTTGTTGTTGGTTTCCAAACCCCACATACACTTCACACTGATACATCTTCACTGGTGAGGATATGTGGGGTCTGTGGCTTTGACAACCCTGACATTCAGTGACATTTCCAAAATAGATTTTAAACTGCAGAAGTGGGTTAACCTAAGATAACTTAAGCCTCCAGTGTTTTTTATGCACAATTTTGAGGCTCTGTCTTGGTTGGGTCTTTTTTTTAAAAAAGGGGACTTCAACGTCAAAGTACAAAACAACAACAACAACAAGAAATATTTCAGTATATTCACCAGCAACATCAAGGTAAACAAGAACCACTGTTCTGTGAGTCTATTGAAACTGGAGAATGAAAACATGGTGGGGCACATATGGTTTCTCTGCTCATTACTGGGAGTTGTAACCATGTTAAGACTGAGCTAATCAAATTCCACCGCATACACAAATTTAATTGCCATTTAAGTATATCAACTAAAGTGATTGTAATCAGATCAATTAAAAACGGGACCTCGTTTAAAGCCGCTGTGCCGGAGAGCGGTAAATTTCTTCCACATATTTTTAAGGGCTTAAGGATCATCAAAACATCATACACAACCTTGATATATACTACCTCAAGCCATAATTTTGTTCTGACAAATTTCACATCTGTCAGGCGCACATGGTGACTTCTACATCTACATCCTCGGCTTTGATGAGGCAACCAGGCAGAAATACAGGCTCTGATAAACCCACAGCTTCAGACCAAAACAAAGCTGTGAGGAGCGTAAATATTAAATATTAAATGTGGTCGTCACCAATGCTAATAAATGATGCGCTGACTCCATATCTGCAGGATATGTAAAAAAAAAAAAAAAAAAAAGGATTTGTATGTTAACTTTATGAGGCAATAGCATGCTAGTTTCATATGTTCTTCCGGCCCTAGTGGCCATTTAACTGAAACTAACATGCTTTAAATCTTTACACACACAGGCTGATGGAGCGCACAAGTGTTGCAACAACTGACAAGGGAAGAATAGTTGGCAGTGTTATTTATATACTTACAGTTGTGGATTGGATATATCCCACTCAATAGGTTCAGCAATAGCTCTACAAAGGCACTACTTGTATTCTCAGTGGGTCCAACCACACACAATGTCAGCCGCATCATATTTGATACATGGATTTCTGAAACCTTTACATCAATGACATGATGGATAGTTTCCTTGAAACTCTTTCGTATACAATCCGGCCATGGACTGCGTATAGGACAGAAGAGAGGATAGAGGCTTTATTGTCGCTGTGCAAAATACAATGAAGCTTGTGTGGTAACTCACAGCAGTCAGCAGCAGTGCAATGCAGCAGAGAAAATAAAATTAATTTATTAACAACCACAGTGACGTCACCCATCGGTGTGTACACCGGTGGTTCTCAAACTTAGGGTCCTGAGATAATTTCAGGGGGTCGCCAGATCATTGTATAAATAAATAAATAAATAAATAAATAAATAACCTACATTTATCAAATAAATTTGTATTAGCACTGTCAAAATTCACAGGGTATACTTCTTCCCACTCCTTTTTTGAACTTGTTAATATAATGATTTGATTATGCGATGTTATTATTCTTTGTTGATCTTTTTTAATGCACTTTTTGGAATGATTTTCTTTTGTTTTTAGATTTTTTCCCCCCTTTCATTTGTTCGAAATAAATTCAATTCATTCATTCATTTAAAAGAAAATATATGTGTTAATGTAAAGAGATGAATCTGTGGAATTAACACATTAATTTTTAACCCATTGATGCATAAACAACAAAGTTTTTACTCATGCCATATTCAAAATTGGGGGCTCACAAACACAAACTTATGTTATCTTGGGGACTCAAAAAGTTTGAGAACCACTGGTGTAGACGACTGTTTTGAAGCTTTCCGTTTGACATTTGACCTTCACCGTCTCGCTCTTTGGAAACCAGATGTAATGAAGGAGGGTTGGATCTGAATTAGAATATGAAGACACCGTTTCCAGCAATATTGACAGTGACCTGTCAATCGCAAGGCAACCCTGCCTCAAACATACTCTGCTTTACCATCTATTTTATTCTGAATGGGGCAAAAATGTTAAAAAAGAACAACAAGCCGCAATCAAAAAGTCCTAAAACTTGTGACTTAGAAAATAAATTCATTGGGAGAATGTTTACTGAGGTGACAAATCAAGAGTCATTTTCATATAGACTTCTGGACAATCTAACATCTTTTTGCAGTCGAAGGAGTCGCCCCCTGCTGGCTGGTAGAAAGAATGCAAGTTTAAGGGACTTCAATGATGGCTTTATTTTAGGGTTTATTCTAAATCCTGAGGCTATGTCCATTTTTTTATGTATAGTCTAAATTAATCTGCCCTCTGAAGGATCTGCATGCACTGCAGGCAGAAGCATTTTCAACACCATCTCCAACATGGCTGCATTTGTGTAATGACTTTTTTTCAAAGGAAATCTTTGCTAATACCACTTATATTGCTGCTATTATTTCATTATGGATATTTCCTGTAATGAAGTTCTGCACTAAAGCTGTAAGTAATGGCACCACAAGAATGAAAGTTTCCCAAATCAGTTCCCGCTGTACAGTGGCTGGGCTCAGCCTTACAGATGGAGTGAAGAGTTTGGAATAGAGCTGCTGCTGCTTCTTCACATCAAAAGGAACCTGCTGAGGTGGTTTGGGCATCCCCAGAATTCGCTGGAAGCGTTGCGTATCTCATCTGGCCTTTGAACTGAGGAGGAAATGGAAAATGTTGTTGGGGAACGGTCTGCTGGGATTGCAGTGCTTTGCCTGCTGCTAACACGAGCTGGGCCCAAATAGTATTGTTATGATCAATAAATTGCCATAAATTACTGATATATGTGTAATACCAAAAAATAATGTAAATTTACGTTGTTCAGAGGATGTATCAGAATGAGTTCAGTTATCCCCCTTTTCTTTCCATGTAGCACCACCATCAAAGCATTGAATGGTCTGCTATTCACGCCATCTTCAAGAGGAATGATAATATTTTTGCTGATCTTTTCATCAGTCGCACATCTAATAAAATCTGTTTATCGTCTTATTTTCCATTTATTATACCAGCAGCACTCTGAAAAGTATGAATATCTCCCTCATTCTGTAACCACTACAGCAGATTGAATTTACACTCACGGTGACTTCCAGTCGGCATTGAAACGCTCGTGTTATTTACTGCAGACAGATTGGTCTCAGTTATTTTTGTGGAGATGCGTTCGAGCCGCACACTCATTCCTGCACTTTTCCCAACCACTTTCCATCCACTTCACAGAAGGTCAGTCCCAGACACTTTCAGCGGCGTATCTGTATTCATCACATCTCCATCCACAGAAAACAAGCAACCTCCGGGCAGCCGGCGCTACGGTGTCAGCTCTCTGCAGGTACTCGGCTCGTGGCCTGTGCCTTTTATTCTGACACTAATATTTGATTGTGTGCATATCATTGCGCCATTTGTATTCTGAGCCTGCTCTGTCCAGCTTGATGAGATTTGCCTGCAAATCCGAGCTGGTTTTTCCCGCCTGGAGAGCAGGTTTCAGGCATGTCAGTTGTCATCTTCTTCATTCTCTCAGTGGTGTGCTGTTGTTTTATATATTTGAAGCAAAAATAAGTAAATAAATAAATGCAACCGAGGCAAAGGGAATCAGTGGAAGTTCCTTTTCTCTTTTAGCCACGGCCTTTGAGGAGCACGGCGATTAATTGTGGACGAGACTGAGCAAACAAAGAGACGAGGAAGGAGGAGGCAGGGAAGAAGACAGATGGAGGGGTGGAGGGAAGAAGGGAGGAAGTGAGAAAAGGATGGAGGGAGGACAGGAGGTTTGGATAAGGAGGGAGATGTGGGTCAAGATGGTTCATTGTGTGCAGACTTTCGGAGGTGCAAGGACAGTATCTCCTTCATGACGGCAAACACACAGAGCATCAGCACCGCCTGAGAGAAATCAGACACTGGAGGTACAGTTTCTGTACAGTTTTACTCATCATTTGGCTTTAATGACTGTAAAGAAATTGTATAAAATTGAGCTTTAATCACATCAATGTCCATAAAAATATATGTACAATTATTTTAAAAATCTATATTATTTCATTTTCATTTAGACATTTGTCAACAATACAACAAATCTTCAGTGAAAAGTACTGAAAACTGCTAAAGTTCCACCTTATCTTAAGTGCTTTAGTTTCACAAATGAATAATCAATAAAAAATAAACATTCAGTAGTACGGACACAAAATGCCAAAGTCTGATTTTAACACAGAGGTGAAGAATACAAGGCCTTTCTTTACGACATATTCAAGGTTCCTTATTGATTCTCTGTTCTGAGTAGATAAAGTGTCCATGTGATCAGGAACATATGAGCAGGAACACGAGTGAGAAGTTGTGGAACATCAGATTTTTACTGTTAAATCTTCTTTGGCCTTGTTTGCTGCTTCTCCTGTTCTGTTGGTTTTGTCGGGTTCTTTTGCATCAAATTAAATCCGTCATTTCTTTTCCGCTGTTGCAGAATACCCATGAAAAGTACTTCATCCAGCAGGACGCCGGCCTCGTCTCGTGTGTTGGGTTGTAGTTTCTCTGAGGCGCTCAAGGACACCAGCTGGTGAAGGGATACAGCATGCAGTGGACGGTCTTAAACCTGGAGAAGGCAGAAGTGGTGAATAACAAGTCAGAGAGGCATGCTTGGTTTTCTTGGTATAGACACCGTTAGTGATGTTTTGAGCTCCAGGGTCGGGCTTCATGTTTTCACCAAAGCCTTCAATCTTTCATCATGCATACATTTTTTTTGCGCTCAACCTCATTCACAGCTGGGGATGAACCAGTGTGTTTGAAAAAAAAGCAAAGTCATGGGTATCAAAATATCTCGGAGAGCGGAATTATCTAATTGGCGTCACCTCATCACTGGTAATGACAGTGATGATGATGATGATGATAAAACGGAAGTGTGGAAATTGCCGACAGCCACAGCGTAGCTCTTCTGCCCGCCCGATTCAACCAACTCACATACAGAGAACTGACATGTTCCAGACATAAGAAGGACTGTTTAGCTTCCACAACGTTTGACCATTGCTAATTTTACTTTTAATCTAATTTGGTGTTTATTGTTCCACACCATTGTCTTAAATTCCAGAATAGAATAGAATAGAACAGAACAGAATAGAAAAGAATAGAAATACTTTATTGATCCCCAGGGGAAATTCTGTAAAGTAAGTAAGTGTAACTTCATTTAGTCGTGTCAACCAAAAGAGCCTTAAAGAACTTTTATGCACTGACAGGGCCGAGAGTGGCGTTGATTGATTTTTCTGGAGGTGAAACTTGGTGAATCAGATCCTCAGTAGCCTTGACAACAAGAACTACAGCTAAATTACAACACAAGCAGCAGAGAAAAATAGCACCGTTGCTCACTCTAAGTCTATTTATTATGTAGTATGCACGGTGCTCCGGGGCATCTGGTGGTTTGCAGCGTGTTAGCAGGGACATTAAGTTACCTGTGACTTTGTGCTGTCCTCTATCAGCAGCCAGTTGTGACTGCTTACCACAAAAAAAGAGAAAGTTTCAGCAGCTAAAAATAGTCCACCAGGAGCATCTAATGAAGATGTCACACAGTAATACCATTATAACAGAATGTTTATGCTTCTTTTTGATTTTTCACCTCCGGCAAGGAGATTATGTTTTTGCTTCCGATTTGTTTGACTGTCATGGTTAGCAGGAAAACTCGTTCAAGGTTTTTAAATGAACACTCGTGGAAGGTAGGTAATAGTCCAAAGAACAAAACGTTTGTAATTTTTCTATATTTTTGACCTTTAGCTTGTATTTCTTGGGGGCCAAGCAGCAAAGTACCCATAGTGGTTCTACCTTTTCTCATACATCTTTGTCGTCTTTCTGTTTCTGCCATTGGAGTCTTTGGCAGAAACCTGACAAAGTTGTGAAATTTGGCACACTGGTTGGTGACAGTAATTCTTTTCTTTTCACCTCTGCCGCTGGAGCACTCTAGCTGCACCACTGGGTTGAGGAAAAGAGTGCCAGTAAGCAGACCACATTTGAACCATAAGTTCAATTTTCAAAAATGAGGCACAGTTGGATTCGTTGGATCAAGCTGAGTTCAAAGCATCCTATGATGTCAGTTTGCCATATTGGATTTTATGAAAAGGTTTGAACATTTTTCACAGGTCACAACTTTTTTTTTTCCAATCTTCACAGATTCACAGATGATCTTCACAAAACATATCACATGGATTATGAATTTAAGAAGTGTTCGTCACAGCCGATCAAAGTCAGAGGCGAAGCTGCCAAAGAGCAAGTGAGGTCATATCTCACAGACAGTTTGATTTATCCAATCCAAAAACTTGGTAAATGGACGCGTTTTTGAACCTATTTTAATGAAGCAAAAACATGTGTGCCACTGGGGATCACTGCAATATGCAAAAATGTCTTTTTTTTGTATTAACCTGTTGATGTGTTGGCTTTGAACAGACAGTTCTTGTGTCTGGTAAACTGTGGGAGGTTGTGAGGCAGAGATATGTCGATTGAATTGATGTCACTGCAATATTGAATTTTCTGAAAAGGATTTTATGAAAAAAAAATGTCTCAGCAGCGCAACACTGATTCTTGCATCTGGTCATATTTCAAGAGGTCCCAAAGATGAGATATGGCAACGTGATGGTTGACACAGACCCTTTTGTTGTTTTGTTTTTTTAAGGAAAAACATACCTGCTGATCTGCAATCCTTTGAGCTTACACAGCCTGAACTCTATGTGTATGATTCTGTCTGAAGCGTATATGTAGATATCTGTATGATGTATATATATATATCATATGTGTCCCTTTCACCCGATCTTTGGTCAGTTCAAAGCAAACTTGCTATCAGTGCTGCCAGTCACACTTTCAGTATGACCAGATAAGTTGCCATGGCAACTCTACCCTGATGAACTGGTTGGCCCCTTCATCAGTACATTGGTGCATGTATACCGTGTCGCTAGCTATCACTACGTGTATTTTACATTAGGTGTTCAACTTTTTTTAGTTTAATTTTGCCTTTAGTGACATGTAGCGCTTACATATCGTTCCAGA